TGGAAAATTCGTAACAGCTAATTTCCATCCAAGCTGAGGAAGTTACTCAGTTGCTTTATCTGGAAAAGGAGAATAATAAAACTGCAGTGTGTTTTCTCTGGAATTCAATTACTTCACTTAAATTCCCCTCAATTATTCCATCATTTCTGTGAGGTAGGAAATAGGAGGCTGCTATTATCCCCATTTCACTAGCACCAAACAAAGCAGGAAAGGATTGTTTTAAAACACAATAATTATTAATCGATTAAGAGCACTCCCCCATTTATAATTTATAATGATTTAATGAGAAAGATGAACATGAAATTTGCTTTGGTACCATGTATGTAAATAAGTTTACCAAGCAATACCTCGGGTAAAGGAGTTAATGCCCATTTTAAAAACCTTCTTTCTTTAAAGTAGAGAACTCTGATTCAGAGTGTCTTCCTCTAGTTTCATGTTCTGTGTAGTTGTGCTGCTTCCCAAGGGCTGGCCCTGGATGAATGTGCCAACCTCTGAAGGAAGACTAACTCCGTGTTGGTGAGATACACTCCAAGCCCCTTGTTTCTCTGGAGGCTCTGCTTGCTCTGTTTTGACCCTTCACTTAATCTCACCAGCCTGCAGTTTGGCATCCTAATCAGTTGGCTTCTCTGGCTTCTGCTGGCAGGAGATAATTTGGTCCCAAAACAGTTTGGTAGAAAACAAATTGATTGCAATAAAAATTTCCTCAACGTGACAAATTAATAAAAAATGGTTATTTCCAACCACCGGTCTTTTGTGTGTTTGATCATTTTGGTGGTCAAGGATTTGCTTTACTGCTTCTTAGGAGTTTTTGAGAATTTTTTTGTGCACAAATATGTGTTTTTCAAAGAATCATACTCTACATACTGTTTACATTTTTTAATATTTGTAATGGCTTTGACAGTAAGGTGGGGACATTTACATTGTTTTTAAATGATTGTCTAAAATGAAGTTAGATTAAAAAGCACAAACGTTTGGGGGGGGGGAACCTAAAAAATTATGATAAACTGACAGTAATGATTAAAGACTTTAAAGGTTGCAAAAAAATCCATATGGGTAACAAGTAATTTTGTTATCATCCACCTTGCCCGAAGCTCTTTTCACCTATTGCAGTCCAGTTCCCATACCCTCCATTCCACGAGCTGATGTGTCTTGGCTCCTGCTCCTTGTCTGCCAGCACAGAGAGTTTTGGGCTACGTTCCTTGTAACCTACATCACTGTGTAGTATCTTCCCTAGTAAGCATTTCTTCTAGGCATCGTCCTGCATATTTGCCAGATCTGTCTGCCTGCTTGACCTTCCTTGGCTAACGCTGAGCTCCTTGCTGCTGTTTTTCCTCCCTCCTTCCCTTTCTCTCTCCTTCCTTTTTTCCTCCCTTCCTCCTTTTCTGTCTTTAGTATTCTAGGCAGATGGTGATGGGGGAATACTACTACTAATCATAATGATAAATTGATGATAGCTAGGATTTAGGAAGTACTTCTATGCCAGTCATTGATCTAAGAACTTCATACATATTAACTCATTTGCTCCTCATAAAATTCTTATAAACCAGGTACTATTATAATTTCCATTTTACAGACAGATACAGATACAGACAGGTTAAGTAACTTGCCCAAGTCACATAATCAGCATTGTTTGGAATCATCAGGAAGTGGTCATCATCAGTTCTCACCAAAAATACATAATAGACAATGTCATTTATAACTATTAATACCATAGGAGACTAATCCATAGACTTTGAAGGCCATTGTGACTTAGGACGACCCTGTTCTAGGTCTTCTACCCCTGGGAGAGCTAAACAATCATTATGAAAGCAGTTGGCCATGAAAGCTGCCTTTGAAACCAGAAAGCGCAGTGCAGGGAACCACCCCTGCCTATCTGAATCTGACAGTTGTGAACCTCTAGGCAGCTACATTTGGGGGAACAGACCTTGGGACATGCTTATTCAACAGCTTAATTTTAAAATCACCTATATTCAGGAAGTTCTGGGTGTCCTGGTGTCCGTATTCTATGTCCTGAGATCTTTCAGTGTGAGAACTTGGACCTTATGTCCCTCACCCAGCAGCAGCAGCAGCAGTCACCGCAGCAGCCGCAGCCGCAGCCGCCAGTTGGAATTCCTGAACAGCTACGCCTCAAGCCTTGTGTGACTCAGGAGACGGGTGCATGCAGTGCAAGAGGCCTCTGATCATAATGACTAGCTTTATCTACCTGCCTGGGGAGCCAGACCTGGTTGTTATAACTGAACCTCGATACTGCTACACTGGTGAGCAAGGGGAGTCATAAATACAGCCCAGAAATTAATCTACGGTGACATAGGAGAACCCTGAATCTGTCACAATGCCCTGAGCCACACAGTACCTATGACACCTGTGCCCAGGTGAAATTCAGGGGCTACCAACCCCACTTCTGAGCTCTGTATTAATAGAGTGAAGCCTCCCCTCTACCCTCTTTTGCACAAATCACAAGTTCCGATGCTGTGCCTTATTGTATTGTACTCTGAAAGGATTATGTTTTTGCAGTCATAGAACAAGGCCATACACCTTACTTAGGTTACTTTAGGTTTCCCTAAATAAGGTAGATGTTCTCATTACCATTCAAAAAAGAAGAGAAGCCTCACACAGAAAAACTTGGAACTGGTGGAAGGTGGCACTTCTGGATTTACCTTTTTAGGGTTTGGACTTAGAGGAGTTAAGAAATGTGGAGGGCCCTCCTCACTGACATGGGGGAAAGAGACTCCGCCACAGAGCTGCCTAGTAGGAGCCAGGCAAGAAGCTTTCCTAGGGACCCACAAGTGAAGGTAAACATTCATGTTGTGTAAGTCTGTTTATCAATGCATCACTCTATTTATCCCTGAATTTTAGTCAAATTTAATCTAAATCTAGGATTCAAACTGAAAAGCCTTCAAGGACTGGGAAAATCTAACAGCCCAGTGTAAGATAAGAAGTGGTGAGCAATATGGTGAAAGGTGGTCCACACCCATCTGGGCGTTTAACTTCAGATGTTTCAAATGCACTGCACAAAGCACTTCCCCCTACAGCACTAACAGACAGTTCCACATAATACATTATTCAGTAATTCAAAAGAAAACAGAATTCTTAAAACTTATAACATTTTATTTTGTATCAAATTAAGGGAAAACAAAGACAGAAAATTGAGGGTTAGAAAGTGAGGAATGGTTAGGCAGCTGGGGAGTAGGGCAAACAAATGTTGCCGCAGGCTAGCTTGATCCAGCTTTGTTTCTGCTGTGGTATTTAAGAAGCAGGCAGAAGTGCAAGTGCTTTCCATCCTGAGTCCTCCTTGTGCTGGATTATAAACAATCCTCAAGGAAAAGTTTAANGAGTTCAGTGACCTCGGGGAAGCGTGTTTCCTGCCCTCTGAAACGGCACCGGTAATAGAGCCGACCTTATAGGCGCTTTCCGTGGTTTTGTTGAGAGAATTGCTGGAACTTTCTTACTACAGAGCCTGGCCTGTGGGATTTGATGAATGGTGGGTATTAAACACACAAGTCAGGAAAGACGAGCGGGTCTGAGGGTGACGACACTGGTCCCAAGAGGGAGAGTGTGTATGTCTGAAACAGAAACGAGAATGCAGAGAGGCCAGATTTTTCATGGACACTGAATATTTGGGACAAAGTATAATTATAGCTAACAGTTTTGAAGGGCTGATTATATGCTTAGGACTTCACCTGAAATAGCCTCATATCCTCACAACCCTATGAGGTAGGCACTACTACATAACATTGTACAAATAAGGACCTGAAGCTCAGAGAGGTTAAGTAATTTTCCAGAGGTCACAGACCTAGTAAGTGGCCAACATTTGAAGTCAGACTCCAGAGCAGGGTCTGATTCTGTCATAAGAGCCACTGTAAGGTTCTTGAGCAAGTTGAGGTGTTGAAGTGGTTAAATTAAATGATGTGGAGTGTCCCTGATGTCCAGGACTTTTGGGAAATATCGAAAATTTATGAGTCCAGGCCCCTGCCTTCCAAGAGCTTACAAGTTCTTTGGAGAGATTGGATCAGGCAGAAATCAACCAGCATTTGATGAGCACTTGCTGTGTGCCCCAACCCTGCCCTTTACACACATACACACACACACCTCCCACCCACCCACCCCCAGGGATAGGCCTTAAATTTGTGTTTTGCAAATTAAGAGCTTGAGATTGTGGCAGAGTGCCAGATTGAGGGATCAGGTTCCCAGAGCTCCCGTGTGTGCTTTCCTTTCACCCACTCTTGTCTCTTACACGCAACAAAAAATTTTCAGTAGCAGTTAACCTTGTTAGAAGACAGTATAGAATCTATGGCCAAGTACCGCTAATGAGCAGTAATTGCTTTTCACCTTTGTAATTGCTAAGAAAGAAGGCACTTAGGTCATTGGGGTGGCTGGGACTTAACCACAGCAGGGCTTTAGGATTGTTAGGGTGGCAGCAGCATTCGGGGTCGGTGGTAGGAGAGTCAAGTTAGAGAGACAAACCAGGACTGGTTCAGGCGTTAAATTTATCAGAGCCTGAAATATGGGATGTAGTGGGAAGTTACGGTAGAGTAAGGTAATTCCCAGGACCTCCAAAGAAGGCTTGTAGAGGAGCTTAGTGTGATAGGTTCACAGTGTGGACCCGGAAGCCAGATCTCCTGAGCTCCAACTTGGCACTTACTTAGGTCTCTCTATATCATTAGGCAAATCATTTTACTTCTCTGAGCATCATTCTCTGCTCTGTCAACGGGGAACAGAACAGTACCTATCTCATAGGGTTGTTAAGATAATAAAATTAGTATTTACTTCAGTGTCTGGTATATGTAGTAAGCACTAAATAAATGTATAACCATAGAAAATCGTGAAACTGCATCCCAAAGATTAACACCAACAGCCCCTCACTTGAATAGAGACCCCTTCCAAGGCCCTGCGAGGGGCCCCAACAATTAGTTCACAGGATCTTACTTAGTATTGTAATAATTTTGTATGCCTTTTCTTGAAGATGTTCACCAAAATTATATGTACCTAAGGCCCCATAAAATCTGGATCTGCCCCTAGTAGGAACTATATTGTTGTGAAAAGAGCATAGGCTTTAGAATGAGAAGTCTTGTTCCTGTAATTTACTATCTATGTTACTCAGGACAGTTAATTCATTGAACTATTCTGGGCCTCAGTTTACTTACCAGGTAAATTGGAGGTAATATTTACCAGCCTGAGCTGTTGTGATAATCAAATAAGATAGTATTTACAAAAGTGATTTGTAAAATGTGGAAAGCACTTTACACGTGTTTATGAATTAGTATTATAATTTGTCCATAAAATGCATAAGAGGCAAAAATCAAAAGCAACACCAAGTTTCTTAGATGAAAAAGTAGAACCAGAGTGTGTGCGCTGGCAAAAATGATGAAATGGTACAGGTAACATTCTTGCTTTTCTGCTAGGTTTTCTTCCTGCTTAATCCATGAGACTTTGAAGAAATAAACTGGTAAGCATAGGATCAGAAATTTAGAGCTGAGAGGAAGTTGAAGATCACCTAGCTCCTCCCTACATTTTTACAGAAATAGAAATTAAGGCCCAAGAAAGCTGAAAGACTTTTCTAAGGCCACCCATCTAATAAATGTCATGATCAGAAGAACCAGATCTCCAGGCTCCAGGTTCCTCTTACTGTACCAAGAGCAATTTTAAATATTGTAAAAGCATTTCATCATGGGGTCTTTCAGAATCAGAGACAGCATGGTGCTTGTTCTCTAGTGGCTTTTCGCTTTATCACAAAATTCGCCAGATTTACTTTTCTGTTTTAAAGGTTGATAGACTGGATGAGGCGTGGGTCACCTGCTCTTTGCAAGCTTATTCAGTGAGGGAAACTGAAGATTTCAAGGTAAGAGCTATAACTTGAGAAATTAGTAATGGGATAAGAAATGCAAATGTAAAATTGGAAAATTCGTAACAGCTAATTTCCATCCAAGCTGAGGAAGTTACTCAGTTGCTTTATCTGGAAAAGGAGAATAATAAAACTGCAGTGTGTTTTCTCTGGAATTCAATTACTTCACTTAAATTCCCCTCAATTATTCCATCATTTCTGTGAGGTAGGAAATAGGAGGCTGCTATTATCCCCATTTCACTAGCACCAAACAAAGCAGGAAAGGATTGTTTTAAAACACAATAATTATTAATCGATTAAGAGCACTCCCCCATTTATAATTTATAATGATTTAATGAGAAAGATGAACATGAAATTTGCTTT